GGAGGAGGAGAAGGAGGCGGCGGCGGTGGGTCCCGGGCGGGGGGAGCGCGGCGCTGCGGACCCGGGCGGCTGGCAAAGGACGAGGCGGAGGCTGAGGAAGGCAGCGGGGAGACCCGGGCTGCAGCAACAAAGGGCAGCGAGCGATTGGCCGGGATGCTGGAGAGGTTAGCCGGGGATCGGGGTGGCCCGAGGCAGCGGCGAACGGTGCACGTGCTTGCAGACACGGGCGAGTGTGGAGCCGGGGGGTGCACGCCCGGCGGGCAGGGGTTTGCTCCCCCTCGGCATGGGATGGCGAGGAGGCTGCAGCGACAGTCTTCTGCCTGCACCTGGCCTGGGGCTTCCAGGGTAGGGGTGTGTGTGTTCGGGGGGGGGGAAGGATGCGAGCCAGGGGGCGGGCGAGTAGTCGCCCGGGACGGGACGGGAGAGAGGGTGGAGGAGGGGGCGGGATGGAACGCTCCGGGCGGCGCGCCCGTCCGCGCGCTCCGCCGCGGGAGCTGGCGACTGAGAACCTCGAATTTTAACTTCGCGTGCCCGCCCGCGCGTGCCCGCCCGCGCCCACCCCTAAATCCTGCGGCCGCCGCCAGCGATCAGCTCTCACACAAACTTTAGCTGCGGGCTAGGGGCTTTGGGGTTGAGTGGGGGAAGGGTGAGGGAAAAAGACTCCTGATTGGCGTTGCGCGCAGCCAATGAGGCCGAGCGTCTCTTCTGCCTGTAGACCCAATCCATTTCTGAAGGTAGAAGGGGCGGGTAGGTGGAAGTAGAGGTGGCGCGGTGTCTGGGAAGGAGAAAAAGGCCTGGACCAATAGGTGCCCGGAAGGGGCGGGCTCAGCGGTCTGTTGATTGGTACTGGCAGTGGAACCTCCCCCGGGGTGGTGCCGGAGGGGGGGGGAAATGATGGGTCGAGAGGTGTTCCTATGTGGAGGCGAGATGACCGGCAGGAACTTACCCCAATGGGCTGCAGAGTGGTTAGTGAGCGGGTGACGGACAGCCCTGTGGGCCAACGGGTGGCTTTAAGTGTCCGCAGTCTCGTCCAATGGAGCAGCGCTGGGGCGGGGCCGTGGCTCGGGTTTAATGAGACTCCATTGGGCTGTAATCAGTGTCATGTCGGATTCATGTCAACGACAACAACAGGGGGACACAAAATGGCGGCGGCTTAGCTCCTACCCCTGGCGGCGGCGGCAGCGGTGGCGGAGGCGGCGGTACCTCCTCCAGGCGGCAGCTGCGGTTTCTTTCTCAGGCAGCGGCAGCGCCCCCGGCAGGCGTGGTGGTGGTGGCGCGCGTCCAGGTCTGTCACCCACCTCGCGCGTTCCCAGGGGGAGGAGACTGAGCGAGAGGGGGAAGACGGGGGAGGGGGGCAGGCTTGGGGGCTGCGACGCCCCTCCCACAGGCCTCTGCGCAGGGGTCACCGCGGGGCCACTCGGGGTCAGGCTGCCCCCGAGCGTGACGGTAGGGGGCGGGGGAAAAGGGAGGAGGAACAGGCCCCGCCCCTCCTCTGGGCCTCCAGGGTAGGGGCGGGGTTTTGATGGTGAGAGGGCGGGGCTAAGTCGCGGTGGGGGCGGGGCCTGAGGAGGCGGGAGGCGGGTGCTGGGAGGGGATTTCTGAGTAGGAGAGACCTGGTAGGTGCTTGGAGGGGGGCAGCGAAGGTGTGGGCTAGATTCTCTAGGGGTAGATGGGAGGGGGAACTGGAGGTGTGGAAACAGGTGTCGAAGGGGTACCAGCGAAGGATGCAATTTTGGAGGGATAGGAAAGGAGACTGAAGGCAGGTGATGAAGATGTAGGAGGACGAGATTGCAGTTATATGAGGACAGACTAAGGAAGAATTTGGGTGTGGTGGACATGAGTAGAGTTGAGAGAAAGAAAGCATTGCAGAATAGGGATTGGATGAGTATACATCGGTGTGGCAGGTACAGTTGCTGTGATGGCAAAGAGGTATCAAGGCGAATTCTCATACTGGGATAGGAATGAGACTTGCCAGCCCAGGGATATATATATATATATGAGACATTAAGAAAACAAACAAACATGGAAGCATGGTATGGTTATGCTTGGAATAATTTCTGAAGGCGAGTACTCAGACAACAGAGCAGATTTAGGTGAAAGGGGCAAAGAAGAGGGCCAATCTACAGATTATATCTGTAGCAGAAAATCATATGGGGAGAGGCGATTCAGAAGGATGGGCAAAGTTGCCGGTGTGAAGTGGGCAGGACTCGGCAACAGGTCTAGGTGGATGTAATTTGATAGACTGTGCCCAGAGCGAGGAGATGGGCCAAGAAAGGTATTAATTTGGGAGACAACCCATTTGGGTAGATAAATGGGCTAGATTTCTGGGTGACAGGAGTTCAAGTCTTGAAGGTGGGGTAGGTAGTGGGGGTAGAGCTGTTGGAGGAAATCATGTAGGTTAACTTGAGTAAAGACGTTTGATAGTTTCGAATCTTCTGGTAGTACTCTGGTATGGGCAAGGCTCAGGGAATGGCGGAGAGATGACAGAATTAAGATGTAGGCCAGATTACAAATGGCCTCCCTGGCACCATGAAGGAGTTTAAAGTCTTGCAGCTTGGAGAGGGTGTTGGTGATGGTGGTGCTGCTGGGAGAATGATGGAAGGGATGATACTGATCAAGATGGCACTGTACACATAAATTGATGTGTTGAATTGGAAACTCTTTGTACATCTATTTTAAAAATAGTAAAAAAAGTTTAAAAGAGGGTGTTGAATATGATAGAGTATTAGTGATTATGAGAAGATAGTGTTAAAGAATTGCAGATTTGTGCTGGGAGCTCACAACTGTAATCCTAGCTATTCAGGAGACAGCTTGATACAGGCCCAGCCCACAGCTGGAAAGTTTTATCTATTAAGTCTTAAGTGGAGGCTTTGCTCAAGTTGTAGAGTTCTAGCCTTGAGCAGAAAGCTCAGGAAAAGTGTGCCGGGCCTGAGTTCTAGCCCCTAGACTAGCACTTAAAAAACAAACAGATTTGGGAACAATGAACCCAATTGTATTTGGGGTGGAGCTACCAGGAAATTCAAGATAAAGAGTATAAAGAGTTCACTCAGACTCTTCAAGCTTCAAGGATGGCCAGGAGATGGTAGTAACAAGTGGCTATTAGTTGTGCTGAGATATTATTTCTGTGATATTCCAGTGAAGCGTGAAGTATATTCTTGCTTTATGTTTGTTTTCTTGCTTGCTTCTGTTTTATTTATTAATTTATTTTGTCAGTCATGGGGCTTGAACTCTGGGCTTAGGCACTGCCCCTCAGCTCTTCAGCTCAAGGCTAGCTAGTGCTCTCTCACTTTGAACTGAAGTGCCACTTCAGTTATCTGGCCGTTGTTAGTTGTGGTTAATTGAAAGTGTCTCTTGGACTTCCCTGCTTGGGATCCAAGAGCCTCCGATCTCAGCCTCCTGAGTAGCTAGAATTACAGGCCTGAGCCACTAGCTCCCAGGTTCTATGTTTTTAAAAAATTCTCCCTGTCTTATTTGTGTTCTGTACATTTTCTGATAGAGCACTAAAATAAAACACTATTTGTACACTCATACTCTTTACACATATATCAAAATTAATTTGAGCTTTAATTTTTTTTTTTAGGAAGGCAAATATAATAATATTGGATGATTCTTACCCAAGAAGCTTCTTTTTTTGTTGTTGGTTGTGGTGCTTGAACTCGGCCTGGGCACTGTCCCTCAGCTCTTTATCTCAAGGCTAGTGCTCTACCACTTTGAGCCACAGTGCCACTTCCAGCGTGGACTTTCCTGCCTGGGCTGGCTTTGAACCAAGATCCTCAGATTTCAGCCTCCTGAGTAGCTAGTATGACAGGCATGAGCCACCAGGACCCAGCCCCAAGAAGCTTCTAATAGAGGTTGATTAAAGGTTGGGAAGGCTGGAGCTGGGAAGGTGGCTCAGTGAGTGGTAGAGCGCTTGCCTTTCATGCATGAGGCCCTGGGTTCGATTCCTCAATGCCACATAAGCAAAAAGAAAAAAGCCAGAAGTGGTGCTGTGACTCAAGTGGTAGAGCGCTAGCCTTGAGCTGAAGAGCTGAGGGACAGAGTTCAGGCCCCACGACCGGACACCCCCCCCAAAAAAAAAAAAGTTGGGAAGGCAAAGTAATTTTTTTTAAAGAGACATAAGAAGGTTATTTACTTGTGTGTGTGTGTGTGTGTGCGTGTGTGTGCACGTGTGTGTGCGTGTGCGTGTGCTGGTCCTAGGGATTAAATTCAGCCTGAGTGTTGTCAGCACTCTTACCATTTGAACCACACAGCTCCAATCCTGGCTTTTTGGTGGTTAATTGGAGATAAGAATCTCTAGTAAGATTTTCCTGTCTAGGCTGGCTTCTAACCAAGATCCTCAAGTTAACCTCCTGAGTAGCTAGGATTATAGATGAGCCACAGGTGCCCTGCTCTGAGGACGATTGTAACATTGAAGGGATACTTGGGGGCCAGAGGGTAACTGGCTGATGGTGATGAGATGGTGTGAACGGAAGTTTTTGTATACTGATTGGACCTGCACTTTTGAGTAGAGGAGATAGTATGTCATTGCTGTGACACTATATGTTTATTTTCTGTGAAATAAGTTGGAAACTGTCAAATGTATGGCATAATGTGAATGGAAGGTAGAGGATATTTAATGTGCTTTATTAAAATAGCTGTTCTTTGACTTTCCTATATCAATTAGAAAAAGACAACTAAGTGATCTGGTTCTCTACTTCTTTAGTTTTCTGCAATATGCCTTTGTTTTTCCATGTGCATAGACACTCCTGAATTTACATCTAGAGAAAAAATTTTATACAAGTAAGTGTATGTGTGATCATTTCCAAAGCACCTTATACAGTGGTTGCCCTCCCCCCCCCACCTCCTCCATAATAGTGGTTCTCTAGTAAACCTGAGTATGAAAATCCACCTTTAGGCCAGGCACCACTGGCTCACACCTGTCATCCTAGCTACTCAGGAGGCTGGGATCTGAGGATCGTGGCTCAAAGACAGCTTGGGCAGGACAGTCCATGAAACTCTTATCTCCAATAAACCACCAGAAAACCAAAAGTGCCACTGTGGCTTAAGTGATAGAGTGCTCGCCTTGAGCTGAAGAGCTCAGGGACTGTACCTAGGTTCAGAGTTCAAGCCCCATGACCAACAAAAGGAAAAAAAAAAAAGAAAGAAAGAATATCCACCATTATCTTTGTGTGTCATCTATTCTAGCAGTTGCTGGATATTTTAGTTATTTCTGATTGGGTTCATAGTGAAAAAAGCTACTTTGAGCAATCCCATACATGTCATCTGGTGCCCATGTGTACAACTTTCCCTAAAGTATACATCTGAGAATGGAATTGTTGGTTCATAGTCATGGTGACCATCTATCCCATCTTATTCTGTTGTCTCAATGTAATTACAGTACTTTTAAGTTGTCAAAAGTATCTGGATTTGGATGATGAATTATATGATCGCCTTAGTCATATTATGTGCTTGTCTTTACTACTAAGCTTTCAAAGTGAAATACCAGGTTATATTCCTTCTAGCAGCAAGAGATTTCCCATTGCTTCTTGTTCTAATTCTCTGGCTTATTAGCTTTTTAAAATTTAGCCGATTTAGGGGCTGGAAAATTGGCTCAGTGGTAGAGCGCTTGCCTTGCATGCCTGAGGCCCTGGGTTTGATTCCTCAGCACCACATAAAGCAAAAAGAAAAAAGCCGGAAGTGGCGCTGTGGCTCAAGTGGTAGAGCACTAGCTTTGAGCTGAAGAGCTGAGGAACAGCGCCCAGGCCCAGAGTTCAGGCCCCATGACCAGACCCCCCCCAAAAAATTTAGCCAATTTAATAAATTTTGCCTTTACCCAATTAGTAATCACGATGAACAGCTTTTCATGTACTTATTACCCATTTGGACTCACTCATTTGTAAAAGTCCTGTTCAAGAACATTCTCTCCCCACTTCCACTTATTTAATTGGGCTTTGGGGTTTTATTGCTATTTAGAAGTTTTTTTATTTACTGTGAATACAAGTCCTTTGTCCTATGTATGCATTGCAAATACCTTCTTCTGTTCTGTGGTTTGCCTTTATGGTGTCTTTAATGAACAGAAGTTCTTAATTTTAATGGAGTCAAATTTATTGGTCTTTCCTTATGGTTAGTGCTTTTTGTGTCTTATTTTAGAGACATTTTCTACCCTTAGGTCAAGAAGATACTCCTATACAGTATTCTTTCCTCAAAGCTTTATTGACCTTAAAAAGATGTATAACTGAGTAAAATACATTTTTTTGGCCCTCAACCTCACAGTTACAAATCTATTGTACCTTTTCTTCAATTTAT